GGCAATTCTATCAGTGTATATACTCATCTAAATCCGAGGCACCATGCTTTAAACTTTGCAATACTAATTGTTCTTTATGGAAACCCAGTTCATAACATTCCCAGAGTTTATTTGCTAACCATATACAAATTCAACCAAACAAGAATTTTCAGCAATAAAAATATTCAATAGTGGGCTAATCCCTTAACAACAGGCTTGGATATTTGGACAGCGCACCTTTACTTAGTGTGACTCCAAGTGTTGACTTTGTAGCCTTTATCAAAACCTTCATCCTCAGCTTATTTGAAATGAGGAAGGAAATCTCAGTAGAAAGATTGGCTGCCGTAAGTTACTAAGATCAGAACCTTAACTGCCCACAGAAGAGAGGTAAATAAGGAAGTTTAAAGGAATAGCAGTGGGTAGTCTAAATTCTATTACTGTATTGATCAAGAAGCAGAAGAAGGTGAAGGTCAGAGTTATCCAAATGATGCAGTACTAGAATGGATTGTTTCTACCTTCCTTCAATTCAACCTGGCAATTATCTGTTAAACACTTGCTAAGTAGAAGGATTTGTGCCAGGTGGTGTTTCCCCTCTAGTGATATACTACAGGAATAATTGTCTTTAGTAAGTGAAGTCAGAAAATAATGAGTATTACTCAGCTTCTTCTACCCTCTGACTTCAACAGTTATCCAAGCATGTCTTATATAAAATCAGCTCCTATTATGTGGAATATATTTTTAAGGTGGATAGACTTGCTATGCAAATAGGCAATAGTTATAAATTCACAGCTCTGAAGGCAGTGTTCTTGCTATTCCCTTTGGTGGAACTGTTGTGCTAATTACAAAACTGTAAAAGGATTAGTAAATGGAACATAAAACAGAGAAGGCCATGTGAAATCAGGTAAACCTGTCTAGTCACCAATAGTGGTATTTTCCCCTTTCTCTCTGAAGTCTTACCTCTTAGTATTTGAAGACAACGCATTTACTAGAGAGACTGCAACATGCAGTAATGATTTTATCGTTACATCCCACACATCGTCAGGATTGTGTTCCTCTTTCTGACACAGCCCTGAGACCCACAACTTCTGGAAGCTTTGCTTTGTACATAGCAACAAATCAAATCCAGTCAAATCAGGCCCACTAATTTCCAGAGTGTACACACACAAAAATGGTGTCCTTAATATCCTTCTCCAAATCAAGTCTTTCTCAACTGTGCCAATGTAGACATCCTTTTCCAAAAAGAGTTTTTAAAAATACAGAGATAGAGTTTTAAAACACACCATTAGGCTACTTAGAATTCAAATTCTACCTGACTTCAGTGCTCGGTACATTACTATGCAGAGTCATTCTTTAACTGTGGTGGTGGTTTATTACAGATGGTCATCTCATTGACCAGTAAGGAATTAAATGCCTATTCCAAAGCTGGGGCTGTGGCGGAAGAAGTTTTGTCATCAATCCGAACAGTCGTAGCCTTTGGGGGCCAGAAGAAAGAACTTCAAAGGTCTGTCCCTTTTAATATAACAAAATCTGCTTGGTTTTATTTTCCCCAGTGGCTACTAATAAGTTGGGTTCTGTTTTTGTAAGGTATACACAGAATCTCAAAGATGCAAAGGATTTTGGCATAAAAAAGGCTATAGCTTCAAAACTGTCCCTTGGTGCTGTGTACTTCTTTATGAATGGAACCTATGGACTTGCTGTTTGGTATGGAACTTCCTTGATTCTTAATGGAGAACCTGGATATACCATCGGAACTGTTCTTGCTGTAAGTCTTGTTTGAGAACAAGGTATCTGGCCTGGAAAATCTTTCCTTATCTAGTTTAGCCAAAATTCCTCTTCGAAGATGAATATCCAAGACGAATGTTTTTAATAAACAAACATTTGTTTACCTCAAATTATTTGTATGCACCTTTATGGTTATGAATTGACAGGATTTATTCATCCAGCATGTTTTAGGGTCCTCGTTGTGTCAAGGACACAACAATTCTGCTTTTAGCAGAATCATAATTGAATTCCCCATTGGGAGATACATTCAGTTTTCTTAATCTAACCGTGAAAAAGGCCATTCTTTAGTGAGATTTTTCCTTTCATCTTGGCTGAGATCAGACGGCATTCTACATTCACCTTACTAAATGTCTTCTCTCCATAAATAGTCTGTAGAGTTTGCACTCACCTCCTCTTCCTCTGTTATTTCAGTATGTAGTAAAGACTACATATAGCTCTGTCCAATATCACAGTTTGAAGACTTTTAAATTTCTAGAGGTTATATGTTAAATAATAATTTATTCAGTTATCCTCCCAAGTTATAACAATAAACAGATCAGTACAGGATTAAGAAACATTTGTCTTGATGAATCAAAATGATGTGCTCTACATACTTTGATCCTGATTTGGCCTTTCCATTCTATAGATTTCTCTTCTTTCCATTAAATTCATCTTTTGAACTTGAGGCATTCATAATTAATATTTTAGCTATTCATTTATCTCACATAAAGTGAAATATGAACATGAAGGATTTTTTTTACTCATTCGTGCTCCTCAATTTATGTGTGGCTAGGTAAATGGCTTACTAAGCCTGAGCATCCTCATCTAAAAGATAGAAATAAGAGCTCCTAGCTTGAGGGATTCTTTTCTTCTTTGACTTTTTGCAGAGATGAGCCTCTCTTAAAATGGGTAACTGTCCCCAGTACACAAATTCCAAAACAGTTTGAGTGAAAACAGTACAATGTCTCTGAGCCAATGAAATCTACTGCATTTTTCTTTTTAAAGTTTAAGGGGTCACCTAGCAAGGAGGGGAGTGTAATTCACCGTTGGGTTTATACATGGCAGGCACACTTCAGTCAGCAGATTTTCCCAGTCACACATCCCAGCAGGTGATAACTGGAAGACTATGAGATAGTCAAAAGTTGTTTCCCTATTAGGAAAAGGCCAAGGATATTTGGATTATTTTGTGTTTCCTTTTTACTTGGTCATACTTTCATTCTTTCTTACCTAATTTTTCTAATATCTCTCTGTGAGCCCAAACCAATAATTATATATTACATTCTATTGTCTTTCTTGTATAACTGCAGACAGCTAAATATCATTTTGTTTGTTCCTGCAGGTTTTCTTTAGTGTAATCCATAGTAGTTATTGCATTGGAGCAGCAGCCCCTCATTTTGAAACCTTCACGATAGCCCGAGGAGCTGCCTTTAATATTTTCCAGGTTATTGATAAGGTAAGACCTCTTATTGCTTTGAAGAATAACTATCATTACTGCAAAATGGAGACAAAAAACATGCACACTTGCTTCACTAAAACAATAAAATGGGAAAATTAATGTGGCTCCGTTGTTTATGGGAAAGAAAGATTGCTTTTAACTCTTTTCTACAAGGAGATTGTGTTTTACTGAAGCCTTCATGTCTAACTCAATGCACTTCTAAAGCAGAAAGGAAACCGTTGTGGAAGAAAACCACCCTTAAACTATTTTTAGGACGTAGAGAGTGTCAGCTTACTCCTTTGAAGATTTATAACATTTCCTTTGTTTTTCTAAGAAACCCAGTATAGATAACTTTTCAACAGCTGGATATAAACCAGAATCCATAGAAGGAACTGTGGAATTTAAAAATGTTTCTTTCAATTATCCATCAAGACCCTCTATCAAGGTAGGTTAAAACAAATTATATGATTGTACAGTTTTCTGAAATTGTCTTCTACTGGCCAAGATCTTCTCTGACACGATTACTTAGGATCACTTTGACCAAGATTTTGGCTACTCTGCTTACAGACTTGAGGAGATAGATAAATAATGAACAAATAAGTTTGGATCAACGAGTTATATTTTGCAGCATTTTTTCTATATTCAACTGACTAAAGCATTTTCAGCTCTGTGAAATTCTTCTACTCTGGATTTGGGAACACACCGAAGTGTCTTTGGTTGATGGTGCCACCTATTGGTGGCTCCTAAATGCTACTCCACTCAACACAGATAACATTTTAACCCCCTCATCTATAACCTGGGAGAATTATGCACTTGTGCCTTTTCCTTCTTCCTTTCCTAGGGCTTTTACTGCACCAGCAATTGTGGTTAGTACTTTATCACCTTTACACACACACACACACACACACACACACACAGAGTTTATCCTACTCTATCATTTAGCCTTTGACAAGTTCTTGTGAAAATGTGTCTTTATTGCCTTCCCCCTTTGACTTCATTAGTGTATGTACCCAAAAAGTAGTTTCTGTTAAAGACAGAAAAAGGTAATTATTAATAATAAAACACTTGCTTCGTAGAAAAGGCATGATTTTAAGTGAAATAGATAAAATTACTAATGTAATCAATTGCTAATGTCTTTTATAGAATTTGTATAGACCTACCTACTTCTACTTCTTTTTCTTCTGATTAAAATTTTGATTGAAATTCTCTTTTCAAAGCTCTTTATTTTTTAAAAAACATTGTTACTTAATTACCATTATTGGAAAAGTATTGAGTTCCACCATTTTTCTTAATTGTAGAGAATTTCAAACTACATTTTGCAACTACATTTGGATTGGCTTCCTGAGGACTTAAGCACTAATTGTGCCATTTTATTGCATGGGAAAGTGTTCTTTGGGTTTTAAACAACTATTTTTAAAATAACTTTTGAAACATAACCCTTTTTGTTAAACTAAAGAATGAAATTTTTTTTGGTCCACCCATTTGAAATAAATAAAACAAATTCTTTCAAGGAACGATCAGAAACCAAATCTAGAGTAAAAGTGCAGGTGCGAGAAGAGGTACTCCTCGTGGTCCCCGATTTCTCACTTCCTTCAGAGAACTTTTCTCTGCTTGGCCCTTTGAAGGTTTTGTGTTTGGCTTATGCAAAGGGTCCATTGCTTTACAAATGGTGAGATCAAAGTAAGAGAATTCAAGGGGAGATTCCCCTGTTCAGGGCTAACTACACACAGATGCAAGCAAGGATAGGTGAGAATTTCTCAGCAGGATCACTGTTGTCATTTGAGAGGGTCATTACTGTGAGACCTCACACTGCAGGTACCTGAGACGCTAAATGCTGTAGCAACTCCAGTCATTGAGCAAATGTTTAAAATGTTTCCTCATAGGTCACCATGAGACCTACCAGGGTTTCTAATGATAAACTATCATCTATTGGGAGTCCCTGAGAAACTCTGCCAGTTGTTTCACTTTAAAATATGCTTTGCAATTATGTTAGTATATTCCAAGAAGGAGCTTCCTTAAATAGCTTGTGACAATATCTGGCAAGATTTCATTCACTTGTTACAAATTAGGACAAGACTTTCATTAACTTGATAGTCAAAATTCATATAAAACATTTTAGTTGAAAATGTGGACAGTTTACTAGTTAATATTCTGAGAGTACTCTTAATTTAGATCTCTTATTTAGAGAGAGAGATAATGAGAGATTATTTTACTATTATTTTTATAAGTTATTTAAGCTATTATTATACATGTACATGAAACAAACATAACAAGATCTCATTTTTTTTTAAGTTCCACAGAAGAATTTGTTTTGGTTTATAATTATATATTCATTTTCTGAAAATGTGTTCGTCATATTCCTACTGCAGTTTTATGATTTTCCCTCCATACATTCCAATAGATTCTGAAGGGTCTGAATCTCAGAATTAAGTCTGGAGAGACAGTCGCCTTGGTCGGTCCCAATGGCAGTGGGAAGAGTACGGTAGTCCAGCTTCTGCAGAGGTTATATGATCCAGATGACGGCTTTGTAAGTGCAGCTAGCAAAACCATGCAGTCTACCTAATGGAACATGGAAACACCACAGAAAGTTACATTTTCATTTCCAACAGTAGAGCTGGGAGAGAAGCCATATTGTTTTCTTCCCTTTGTATCTATTCATTCAACAAATATTTATTTAGTGCCAGGCAGTTTTAGGTTCTGAGAATACCTATGTGAATAACACAGATTAAAAATCTGTCCTCATGAAGTTCACATTCTAATAATCAGAGACAAACAATAAATAAAATAAGTAAATTATATAGTATGTTAGAAGGGTGTGAATGTTGTGGAGAAAAATAGCATATTAATATCAGTATCCAGCATCTACCAAGAATTTCACAGTTTATCTCAGAAGAATGATGTAGAAAACATCTCCATTTCTTTTTTTTTTCTTGGAGCTTACAGTGTTTCACTTACTTTCTCAGCCTTGTAAGTGGCATAGAGGATGAGATTTGATACTCAAAAGTGTATGATTCTTAATGCTTCTGTTCAAACTTTCAACAGTTATTTTAAAAGAAAACCTACTCCCCTAGAGCCTGGCTTTATTTAAATTTTGCTTCTTAGTTTTCATTTAAAGTATCCCAGACCCATGTGACTACATAAATTATTAGATGAGTGTTACATGTATAAAATAGTTGCATAGAATACCCATGCCCCGACAGAAAACAAGCATTGGTAAGAAATAGAGACTGTGTAAGTTAGAATTACCTCACCCTGGCTTCTGTCCCTGGAGTATGCTGGGGTAATTGGCAATGGCACCACCTGTGGAGAAGACAGAGATTACCTATTATGTATAGCAATGAATAGAAGACACTTTTGTCTTTTGCAGGAGTCTGAGGTGTTCCAATTATGAAGGCTATTTCCTAGAAGAAATTTAAGGGTCACATCAGTCTTAAAATAACAAAGCTGAAGTTTTTTTATGTGTCTACATAAAAACATGTGGGGAACCTAGAATATGTATCTTTATAATATCTAACTTGTGGATCTTAGAATTAAGATAATTAGATGATCTGGCCAGATTTTAGACCAATTACTCTTTTGCGGTTTTGTTTGTTCCTGTCTACCAGAAAAAGTCTATGGACAATAAACAAGTTATAAATATTTTATCAAAATATACTCTTTGATTCTTAAAATATGCTACTTCTCAGCTTATGTTTTGGTTTAGTACAAGATACTGAAAATCAACACAGTAAAAGGCATCACAACATGGTTCATTCTTTGGATTGGCAGATCACAGTGGATGAGAATGACATCAGAGCTTTAAATGTGCGGCATTACCGGGAACATATTGGAGTGGTCAGCCAAGAGCCTGTTTTGTTCGGGACCACCATCATCAACAATATCAAGCATGGACGAGATGATGTGACTGATGAAGAGGTGGAGAGAGCAGCAAGGGAAGCGAACGCTTATGATTTTATCATGGAGTTTCCTAATGTGAGTACACTGTGCAGCCTATGTTCTTAGCTTATGGTGGCAGCACTGCAATATTCCAATATAAGGTAATGAAACAACAACCGATGCAGAACAGTAGGGGTGTGATTAATTTCTGGATTGTCCTAGAACAAGCTTGTGCAACCCATGGCCAGAGAGGGCTTTGAATGTGGTCCAACACAAATCTGTAAACTTTCTTAAAACATAATGAGATTTTTTGTGATTTTTTTTTTTTTTAGCTCATCAGCTATTGTTAATTTTAGTGTTTTATGTGTGGCCCAAGACAATTCTTCTTCTTTCAATGTGGCCCAGGGAAGCCAAAAGATTGGACACCCCTGTGTGAAACATCTGTAGAGAAGAATGCATAGTAACAACCAAAAGAAGAAATACATCATTTAAAGGCCAAATTGGAAAAAGTCGTATTTTGTTCTGCAAATAAAGAAGAAAAAATGAAAGATATATTAAAGCATAACAAAGAAATATGAAACCAAATCATCAGGCTGAGAAATGATGTCTAAAATGTTTATTTGCGAGGCCATCTTGTGGCTGAGAATAGGAATGTCATACACATGATGTTCAGATCAATTCTGTGACCAACCACAATAAAAATTATGATCATTTTTTAAAGCACAGGAAGTGAACATTGCATAAGAAATGTGAAATCAGACCGGGTGTGGTGGCTCACGCATGTAATCCCAGCACTTTGGGAGGCCGAGGCAGGCAGATCACCTGAGGTCAGGAGTTTGAGACCAGCCTGGCCAACACGGTAAAACCGAATCTCTACTAAAAATACAAAAAAATAGCTGGGCATGGTGGCATGCACCTGTAGTCCTGATTACTCAGGAGGCTGAGGCAGGAGAATGGCTTGAACCTGGGAGATGGAGGTTGCAGTGAGCTGAGATTGCACCACTGCACTCCAGACTGGGCAACAGAATGAGACTCTGTTAAAAAAAAAAAAAAAGTGAAGTCATATTTGGAAAGCAATATAGTAAGTTAAAATTCTTGCTAACAGGACTTATGAGATCTTAATGGGTATTTAGAATTAATAGGGTGCTACAAGGCCATTTTAAAAAATATTTCCTAAGGTATTAGTTCCTCAGCATCACCTGAAATTATTGCGGGGAGTACCTTATGACATACGAAAGAATGAAGTCTGTAATTAAAGTACATATAAAATTCCACCATCCCAGAGGGTCACAATAACAAAAACATTTATTTTAATGGGCATATTTCACAAACCACACTTTATAGATTGTAATGATTTTATTATTTTTTAATCAAAAAATTTGTTATGCCAGTAATTATCTCTTATCCCCATTATTTAGAATCATAATTAGGACATATTTAGGCCTGCAAAATCATTAAAGATTAAAGGTGATTCTTTGCCTGTGGTTTGGGAACACACATTTTCTTTTGTTAATGTTTTGCCCCTTCCAATGACCTCCTTTCCTTAAAACAGCAGTCCTCTCATTTCCCACTTGGAATTAGGGAGCTTTCTGGTGCCTCTTACATCATATCCTGTAATTTACTACTTGCTTTTACCAAAAGCCCAATACTACACAAAGATGCCCCTTGCTATAAATCTAATAGTACATTGAGAAGATAGAACCCTAACAAATTTAAAACAGTAGCTTATCATGATGAAAACTAAATTCTACAGCCATAGTTAACCAGAAAAATGGGAAAGCACAATAATAAATAAAAGTTCCAAAAGTGGCTAATTTAGGTAGGTGAAAAATTGGGGAAAGCTATGCTAAAAAATATAGAGCATTATTTTCTTTATAATATACACAGATTTTAAAATTAATGTATGATAATTAGCTGATACTGGTTAGCCTTTCACTCATAAACAACCACGAAATTAGATAAAACACATGAGGCCAAGGGCAGTCATTTCCATACATTGGAAGAGAGGTAATGAAGACTGATTCCTAACAGCGAGGAATCTCACAAAGTAACTCCATGAATTTGGTCTGGGAATACATTTCTGACCTCATCTTTGTGAACTGGAATCCAGACAGAACTTGGTAGCCCCACTGAGCTGAAAGCTGAAAATTAAATTCTAGGGCAGCTTGAGCAGCTGGAAAGGTGACAAGAGATCAGCTGTGGGGATAAGGCTCGGGCAGAAGTCCATGTCCATGTGGGCATTCCTCAGGAATCCTTATCTGAAGATAAGGCTATCTACCCAAGGCTTACCAGAGAGCAGCAGCCACAAAGCTGCAAGCCGAACACTGGATAGAAGTCAGTAGTGCTGTGGGGTTGTTGAAGGTGCAGCCCAGCCAGAATGGAGAGTTCACATTAACACCATTTTAACACCCCAGGCAAGTAGCTAAAACATGGAAAAAGCCACACCTTAGGAGTCAGGACCACACCTTGGAGTAAGATGTACTCCAGACCTGCCCTAACAAACCCTGAGACCAAGCTATAACAAGATGCCCAGAGTAGAGATGTTTTGGAGGTTGGATTCTGCCAAGTTATGTGGCTTTCTACAAATTCACCCCAATGAAACCTAAAATGAAGATTGCACAAGTTCAAGATTAGTCAGTGCTTTTTTTTTTTCTTTTTTCAGAAGAAAACAGAACTCAGAGCCTCTCCAACACAACAATCACAGTACTCTGTACATAATTTAAAAACCAGACATTCAAAGAAACAGAAAAATATGGCCTGTATGCAAGAAACATATCCCCAAATATTTATCCATTCAGAAAAGGGCTTCAAAATAGATGAAGTAAAAACTGATACATCTGAAAGGAGAAAGACAAATCCACAACTTTAGTGAAGGCATCAGTACTTGATAGAACAAGTAGGTAGAATATCAGTGAGAATATAGATGAACAATACAATCAACCAGCTCGATTTAAATGGCATTTATAGGACATTCCAGCCAACAACAGCAGAAAACATTCTTCTCAAGTGCACATGGAACATTCTCTAAGATAAACAATATTCTGGGCCATTAAAACAAACAAAACAAAACCTTCGCCCTTTCAAACAATAGAAAACAGAAAATACGTTCTCAGACCATAATAGAATTAAACTAAAAATCAATAACAAAAATATATCTGGAAAATACATAAATATTTTTAAAAAATCACACACACACACAAAAAAAACCACTTCTAAAGAATCCACAGCTCAAAAGAGAAATTTCAAGAAAATTAAAAACTATTCTGAACTAAATAAAAATGAAATTGCAATATATTCGTATTTGTGAGATAAAGTACTGCTTTGAGAGAAACTTACAGTATTTATTGCTTATTTTTAGAAAGAAAAACACATCTAGAGCCTGCAAACTTAATTTTCACCTAGAGAAACTAGAAAAAGAGGAGAAAATTAACCCAAAACAAGCAAGACTAAGTAAACAGAAATTACAGTAGAAATTGGTAAAATAAAAAACTGAAATACATCAATATTGAAACCAAAAGCTGGTTCACTGAAAAGATTAAAAAAACAAAAAAAGTCAAACTGTAGCAAAGCTGACAAGAGACAGAAAGACAGAGAGAGAGAGAGAGAGAGAGAGAGAGAGAGAGAGGAGAAATAGCCAACATCAGGAATGAAAGATGGTACATGACTACTGATTCCAAGGACATTAAAAGGTTAATAAGAAAATATTATCAATAATATTATGTCTGTAAGTTTGACAACTTAGATGAGAGTCAATTACTTGAAAGATACAAATTACCAAAACTCACTCAAAAAAAAAAAAAGATAACTTTAGTGTATCTATAATTATTTCAAAGAGCAGCTGGGTACAGTGTCTCACATCTGTAATCCCAGCACTTTGGGAGGCTGAGGCAGATGGATCACTTGAGGACAGGAGTTTGTTACCAGCCTGGACAACATGGTGACACCCTGTCTCTACTAAAAATACAAAAATTAGCTGGGCGTGGTGGTGCACACCTGTAATCCCAGCTACTTGAAAGGCCGAGGCAGTAGAATCGCTTGAATTCAGGATACAAAGATTGCAGTGAACTGAGATCACTCCACTGCATTCCAGCCTGGGCGACAGAGCAAGATTCTTTCCCCTCACACCCCCCAAAAAATGAATAACCTGGATGCCAAATAACAGCAACAGTTACAAATGAAATTAAAATAAAAGTAGTATTGACAATAACATCAAAAAACAAAATGCTTGAGAATAAACTTAATGAAAGATATGCAAGTCTTCTAGATAGAAACTATAAAATGCTGATAGACATGAAAGATATAAATAGAAAATACCTTATTCATTGATTTAGAAATTCCATATTTTTAAAGATTTGTATTCTCTCCAAGTTGATATATATATATGCTTTATCAATCAAAATCTCACCAGTTTTTATCTGTATGTA